GAGGAGGAGGAAGAAGAGGAGGAGGAAGAAGAGGAGGAGGAGGAGGAGGTGCCGCCCCCGCCTCGGGTAGTGAGCGAGGAGCATCTGCGGAGATATGCCCCAGACCCTGTGTTGGTCCGCGGCGCCGGCCACATCACTGTGTAAGAGATTGGGGCCGGGGGCTTGCTGAGGCTGAGATTTGGCTACCACAGAGGAATGAGAAGGGCATAGAAGGGCCTGCCGAGTGGGGAAGGGTTGACTAAGACACACTGTTAGCAAAGGACACCTGGTCTGAATAGAGAAACCGCAGACTGAATAGGTGTAGTGTAAAAGAAGTGGGGACAATGATGCATCGACCCTGAGAAAAGAGTGAGTGTAAGGCAGGCATGGAGTTGCGGGTGGGAGAGCTAGAGGCACTGGAGTAGGGGTGATCCGCTTGTACGTGTGCTGGCAAGTGAATAGTCTCTAAACTGCAGGATGTACTAGGCTTCTGCTGCCAAGATTGATGGCTAATGGAAAACGGTGACTGCTATAACGTGTGACAAGATCTGGGCTTGGATTCTTCAAAACAAAAATGTGGTGCATTTTGTGAATAATATAAATCTTCATCCTCCCACATATTTATCCATCCATTCTTCCTAGCCCAATGCTTATGTGAATGAATATCGTCATCCTTTCTCTATTGAACGCACTACTCTGACGTTCCTTTAATATCACACCATTAGAGGTTCAGGTTGATAGGAATCTATGCAAAGTAGAAAGAGCAATGGATAGAGGGTGAGAGATCTTGGTTGTTAATCTCAATTTCCCTTCTTACTGGCCCTATGACCTTGGTCAGTTGATTCTTACTTCAGGGCTTTGGGTTCTCCATCTCCAAAATGAAGGGTTTGCAGTGCGTGGTTTCTAAGCCCTTTGGCTCTGAATAAATTAAGATACCTACAGGATATTTTGTATGCCTAAACACTGAATATGCAAACATTAAATATATAGGGAAATTGGACTTTGATGAATTGAGGATGACTTCTCTAAAACTCAATGGCTTTTTTTTTTTTACATTGAAACCCTGTATCATATTTGAGAAAATAAAGTGTGTAGGGACTTCATATCATCTTGGTTGCACAGTAAAAGAAAAATTGATCTCTGGGCTTTGGAGAGTGCTTCCTCATTTTTATTTGCTTGCATTGTAAATACTTAAAATTTTGAATATGGTGTTGTGCTCATGCTCTTAACTATGGTGTCTTCACTGCATTTTCAAAATAGGTTTGTTCCTTTCATCATGTCTCACTATCTTTAGTTTTGATCATGGCTCACCTAGTCCCTTTGACTCAATTGAGTGCTTTCGTGAAATCATACAGTATTATTAACTCTTCAATCGTGTTATCTTTTCATTTTTAACATGTTTGACTGTAATACACTTTTAAATCACTGAATGACTGTATTACCAACTATTTTTTCAATTGTGGTGGAAGGCTTTGGGGAGACTTTTAGGCCTTATTTTTGATTAGGTAATTTTAAGACAGTTTTTCTCAGTTCAGGATTTTTGCAGATAGCCTGCAATGTTCAGGTGCCAACTTGCTGCACTGTTTTACTTCCATTTCTCTTGTCACTAGGGAGACCATTATTCAAACTAATTATGATCCTGGTACCCAGGGTTCTTTTTATGCAGATTATTTTACATGACCAAACATAGAAATGGTATTTTATGCTTCGACCCATCATTTTATGTTCCAACTCCCTCCATTATTTTCTAAAATTCAAACAATGAGTACATAGCAAGGAAGCATAATTTAAGTTCTCTAAAACTTCCTTGTGGCTCCATTCTATTTGCCACACAACCAATTTTCTTGCTTCATTTAAAACACAGCACTGAGATTTGCCTCTTGCAGGTATAATTCCCTGCTGCCATCCCCCCCCCCACACACAGATGGTCTAAAAATTCTGGAATTGCATGTAAAGGGATAATGCTAGTAGTATCTTGGTATTAGAGAAAAGTCTGAAAAGCATAAGCCAATACTTAAATCACTAGACATGAACATAGTTTGAAAAATTGTTTATTTGTTGTATATATTTTCTTATTTAGGAAGAACATCTGATGCTAAATAGCTAACATTTTAAGAAAAGGGCTGTTTAAAAGGTTTGCTAGAAGCCAGGCATGGTGCTTTGTGCCTATGATTCCATCCTTTGGGAGACTAATACAAGAAGAGTATCATGAGTTCAAGGCCAACCTGGGTTACATAATGAGTTCGAGGGTAACCTAGGTCATATAATGAGCTTCAGGCCAGCCTGGTCTACAGAGTGAGACCCTGTCTTCTATAAAAATTTTTGGTTGGGATCTGAGACATGAATAATAACAGAACCTTCCATATGTCAAGAGAAGTAAAAATCTGAAAGAATAATCTTAATCTGATACATCTAAAATATCAAATTTTGTTTCTTTTTTTCTGATGTAGGCATGTAAAGATTGCTCTAAACTATATGTTTTATTGGGTTGGTGGGTGGGTGTGATAAAACTCAATTGTTCGTACAGGCAAGTGCTGTATCACTGAGCTGTACCCCTGGCCCTATACGTATGTGAGCGAACTTTCTTTCTTTCTTCCTTTCTTTCTTTTTCTTTTTTCTTTTTTTGGTTTTTCAAGACAGGGTTTCTCTGTGTAACATCTCTGTCCTGGAACTTGCTTTGTTTACCAGGCTGGCCTCAAACTCACAGAGATCCTCTACCTGCCCTTGCCTCTGAGTGCTGGGATTAAAGGCATGAGCCACCATTTCTTACTCTCTTGTATGTTGGCTTTATTCTCTGTTCAATCTTCATCTGTAGAAGATTTTGCTTCTATTCAAAGTTTAAAATTTGAGAGTTGTCACCATCAACTGGATTTTTTTAAGGGGAGAGTATTTTATAGCTTTTCACTATGAGTAAAAGATACAAATTTAAGGTGCTAGATATGTTTAACTTGATTCTAACTCAGATTATCTTAAACTCAACATTTTTCCTCCCCAAATGGGTTGTATTTCTAGCTGCCACATTTCTGCTGGTGAACCTAACATTCTACTCTCCCAGGATGATATTTGAAATCTTTGAGCCATTTTGACTCTTCTCCTTGAATTGCCCTATGTCTGATTTTCCCAGAATTATGTCATCATACATTTGGAAATTCGCTTAGATTTTTCATTTTCTCTATTCCTATTTGGCACCACTCTTGTTTGAGTTGCCACCACCTCCTTCTTGAATTATAGCCATAGTCTGCTGCCTCTCCTTGTTTCATTGTGCATGCTTGTGCCAAACTAATTTTCTTAAAATGCCATTTAATCGTGTCACTGTCCTGTCGCAAACCTGTACTGGGTCTTTATTAGATCTTAGTGCTCCCAGCATCAGAATTCAAGGGTCCTTACCCAGAACTCATCTCTTCTCTTCTGCTTCCATACCCTTCTCTTCTTGCCTCCTCCCAAGCAAGTTTTCTAACACAGTAGTGGTTCTTGTTAGCAGAATTTGATGGCACTGATTCTTAACCAGAGCACTTGAACTTTCATTTAGGCAAGGTTTTAAATGACTGGAAATAGTCATTTTTACAAGCATGAAAACTAGGGATATAGGGAGACAGAAAAACAAGGAAAATGATCCATCCTTCTTTGCCTCCATTTCCTATAATCCAAAAAATTGTTCCAAGAAATTAGAATGTAAGGGCATTGAAAACACTTAAAGAAAATTCAATCATTGACAACCACCAGCTTGGTCAACTTCAAACACATAATAGACTCTATATTTAATAAAGTCAATAAATGGCTTATGAGTAGTTCCCAAGTGCCTCTTTGTCTAATGCTGAAGAGTGCCACATCTTGGCTAATGCCTATCACTGATGCATCTAATGAATAGATGCATTTGTGTAAGCTCTGTAGAGCCATAGTTTTTTGTTCCTTTCTTTCTTTCTGTTTTTTGTTTTTGTTTTTTGGAAACAGGGTTTCTCTGTGTAGCCCTAGCCATCCTGGAACTCACTCTGTAGACCAGGCTGGTTTTGAACTCACAGAGATCCACCTGCTTCTGCTTCTGCTTCCTCAGTACTAGCTTTAAAGGCAGGCACCACTACTGCCTGGATGAGCCATAGTTCTTAACTTCATAGTTTGTTTATGAAACAGAGATAGTATTTATTCAGCAGCATTTCAATATATTTGTAGCTACTTAGTGAAACCCTCAGAATTAAGGTTTTTTTTTTTTGTTTGTTTGTTTTTTTTTGGGGGGAAGTAAGCACTCTTTTTGTGTCCTCAGTGTTAAAGAGAAAATATTTAGGAAAGAAATTCCTGTTATGTGAGAACAGGGTAGCTATTCCTTGTTAGCCAAAATTATGAGACTAGTGAGTCTGGTTTGCTTTCCATTATACTTTCTTGTTTGATTTTTGAGATAGATTTTCACTATGCTGTCCAGGTTAGCCTTGAACTCATTATCCTCCTGACTCATCCTAGGATTATAGGCATGTGCCAATATACCAGCTTCTTTATATTTCATGGTATGACCCTCTATACTCACAGGTTTTAAGTAAATGCAACCATTTGCAGGTCAAAATAGTAGAAGAAAAATACCATCCACATTGAACATGTATGAGCATTCTCTCATTATTCTGTAAACAATACAGTGTAGCAAACATTTGCGTAGCAGTTGTATTAGCTATTACTAGGATGATTTAAAGAATACTAAAGGATGTGCATGGGTTACATGCAAATACTATTCTGTTTCAATATAAGGAACTTGGGGCTACAGAGATGACTCAGCAGTTTAGAGCACCTGTTGCTCTTACAGAGGACCCAAATTCAGCTCCCAGTACTCATGTGGAAACTCATACCTATCAGTAACTCTAGTTCCAGGAGATCGGACACCCCTTTCGGACACCCCTTTCTGACACTTCTTTACTCATAAAGGATGCTTTTAAGAAGTAAAAATATACTTCCTTTACCATTTTAATATCCCTTTTATATTTTCAAAGATTAATTTTTACTCATTAAAAAAGAAAATTAGTAACTATTATTAATTTTGAGTTCTCACTACTTCTTAACTAGATAGGAACTTGGTTTTAAGCAAATCACTTAATTAATTGATTTTCAAAAATGTTTTTGAATGCTAAAATTAAAGGCTTGAATGTCAGCTTCCCTGTCCAAAAAATGGTGCTGAC